TGTTAGATAGGTAGAGACAAGTATTGATTTGGGTGAAGAGAAGGGCAATGTACCAAATGTGAGTGAACAACATGGTGGCACTAAGGAAGAGGAATACAAAGAGAGGTACGTGGGAGGTACAGACAACAAAGATGAAGCCTTTTGCATGTACTGTACTGTGTTGTCAGTGATGAGAAGCATTGATATATGGATGGATAGATGGTGGAGTGAATGATCAGGTATGTTTAGGCAGGCAGTAGGGTGCCCATGACCATGTATAGTATTGGCAAAACATGTTTCTACATGCATATTTGTATGTACTGTAAGAATGTCCAGGTATATAGTAGAGCTGACAAGGGGCAAGGTTGTGGTGACTTCTTGGCCATCGCCTGCAACCCTGAGGGAGTGAGTAGTTGGACCTGTGGGCTTGGGATCACAGTCGCAGGGGACATCAAGTTCAATTGGCATAACATACTACACAAAAACATTGTTCCACATTCTACTTTGGTGAGTAGCTGTTTTTGTTGTTATGTGCCATCGAGTCACCTCCAACTCATAGTGACCTTATGTACAATAGAACGAAACACTGTCCAGTTTTGTGCCAGCCTCACAATCCCTACTATACCAGAGCCCATAGCCACCACCATGTCAACCTGTCTTGTTGAGGGCCTTCCCCTCCTTTGTTGACCCTCCACTTTACCAGCATGACATCCTTCTCCAGACAATGGTCCCTTCTGACAACATGACCAAGGTAGGTGAGACGAAGTCTGGCCATTCTCGCTTCCAAGGAGCATTCCAGCTGCACTTCCTCCAGGACAGATTTGTTAGTTCTTTTACCAGTCCACAGTACTTTCAGCATTCTTTGCCAACACCACAACTCAAAAGCATCTACTCTACTTTGGTCTTCCTTATTCATTGTCCAGCTCTCACATGAATATGAGGCAACTGAAAATATCATGGCTTGGGTTAGGTGCACCTTAGTCTTCAAGGAGATATCTTTGCTCTTCAGCACTTGAAAGAGGTCTTTTTAACAGATGTGCCCAACGCAATATGTCTTTTGATGTCTTGACTGATGCTTCCACTGGTGTTGATTGTAGAGCCAACTAACATGAAGTCTTTGACAACTTCAATCTTTTCTCCATCCATCATGAAGCTGTTTATTGGTCCAGTTGTAAAGATTTTTGTTTTCTTTATATTGGGGTGTAGTCCATACTGCAGACTGTAGTCTTCAATCTTCATCAGTAAGTGCTCCAAGTCATCCTCACTTTCAGCAAGCAAAGTTGTGTCATTTGCATATCGCAGTTTGTTAATGAGTCTTCCTCCAATCCTGATGCTGTGTTCTTCATATAGTCCGGCTTCTCGAATTATCTGCTCAGCATAAAAATTGAATAAGTATGGGGAAAAGTTACAACCCTGACACACTCCCTTCCTGATTTTAAACCATACAGTATCCCCTTGTTCTGTATGAACGACAGCCTCCTGGTCTATGTACAGGTTCCTCATGAGTACAATCAAGGGTTCGGGAATTCCCGTTCTTCTCAGTGTTATCCACAATTTGTTATGATCCACACAGTCGAATGCCTTTGCACAGTCAATAAAACACAAGTAAACATCTTCCTGGTATTTTTTACTTTGAGCCAAGATCCATCTGACAGCAGCTGCAATATCCCTCACTCCACGTTCCCTTCTGAATCCAGCTGGCATTTCTGGACATTCTCTGTCAGTGTACTGGTACGATCATTTTTGGATTATCTTCAGTAAGATTTTACTTGCATGTGGTATCAATATAATTTCCACATTTTGTGGGATCACCTTTCTTTGGAATGGGTACAAATATGGATCTCTTCTAGTCAGTAGGCCTGAGATACAACCTGAGATATGCAGATGATACAACTTTACTTGCTGAAAGTGAGGATGACTTGAGGCACCTACTGATGAAGGTTGAAGAATACAGTCTGCAGTATGGATTACATCTCAATATAAAGAAAACAAAAATCCTCACAACTGGACCAATGAGCAGCATCACAATAAATGGAGAGAAGATTGAGGTTGTCAAAGAATTCATGTTGCTTGGTTCTACAATCGATGCCAATGAAAGCAGCAGTCAGGACATTAGACGACGTGTAGCATTGGGAAGGTCAACTGAGAAGGAACTGTTTCAACTGCTGAGGAGCAAAGATGTCTCCTTGAGGACTAAGGTGCGCCTGACACAAGACCATGATATTTTCAATCACCTCGTATGCATGTGAGAGCTGGAAAATGAATAAGGAAGATCAAAGAAGAGTTGATCCTTTTGAGTTGTGCTGCTAGTGAAGAATGCTGAAAGTACCATGGACTGCTAAAAGAACTAACAGATCTGACCTGGAGGAAGTGCACCCAAAATGCTCCTTGGAAGCAAGAATGGCCAGACTTTGTCTCACCTATTTTGGTCATGTTGTCAGAAGGGACCATTTCCTGGAGAAGGATGTCATGCTCGGTACGGTGGAGGGTCAACAAAAGAGGGGGAGGCCTTCAACGAGATGGACTGACATGGTGGCTGCAATGATGGGCTCAAGTATATCAGGGATCATGGAGCTGGCAGAGGATCAGGCAGTGTTTCGTTCTGCTGTGCATGGGGTCACTATGAGTCGGAAACAACTCGACAGCACCTAACAACAACAACAACCAGTCAGTTGGCCAGATAGCTGTCTTCCAAATCTCTTGGCATAGCTGAGTGAGGGCCTCCAGTGCAACATCTGTTTGTTGAAACATCTCAAAGAGTATTCCATCAATTTCCAGAGCCTTGTTTTTTGCCAGTTCCTTCAGTGTAACTGGTGAATAGCTACCAGGGTCTTAAAAGCTTGCAAGGGGCCATCAAGATTCAATGATGGGTCTCTCCTTGTCCAGAGCAAAGTAGAATGAAGAAAAGCAAAGATGCACCATGCGATTCTCAGCCTATACAACTATGAGACCAGAAGAACTAGATGGTGCCCAGCTACCACTGTCAACCACTCAGAGAGGTATCTATGTAGGAGATCCTGGACACAGTGGGAGAACAATGTGGAATAAAACTCAAAATCATTTAAAAAAAAAGAGAGAGAGAGAGAGAGACCACGTTTACTGGTCTGACAGAGCTTGGTGGAACCACTGAGACTATGGCCCCTAGAAGCCCTTCAGGTCTGGAATTGAACCCACTCCTGTGGCTTCCAGCCAAACAAAAGACAGGCATACGAGCTGAACATTTACATTAGGTAGATACACTCCCTGGAGAGATCAATCACGGGAGAATAGAAGGGCTGTGTATGCACAGGGAGACAGCTCAGGGGGCAGGAGTGCATGGAGGGAAGGACACAGGGAAGAGATAACTATGGGGAGTAAGTGGGAGGGGAGCTGTTACATTGTGGGGAATTGCAGTCAATGTCGTGAAACAAAATGTGTATGAACTGCTTTATGGAAAATGAATTTGCTCTGTAAACTTTCACCCAAAGCACAATAAAAATTTTTAAATAATTTAAAAAAAGTATTTCTTCCCTTGCATTTCACACACAAGCCCTATTTCCCTTGACATAAGCAGTTTGTGCTGTGGGAGTCTCGCACGCGGCCCCGTGACGTGAGCAGTTTGTGCTGTGGGAGTCTCGCTTGCAGCCCCACACCCCCCAGGTCCTTGCACCTCATGCCCTCACTGCCCTCCAGCCAAGACCCTGCCCTCTTCATGGGTGGTGGGGAGAGGGACACCAAGACAGTGGGGAACAGCAGTCAAGGCCACCTGCACCTCTGCTGGCCCTGTCCGTCCTTCAGTCCGTCTGCATCTCCAAGGGCCATGCCCTCTCCCCTTGTTTCTCCCAGAACCCACCAGAGGGCCCCAGTTCCCCTCAGACTAGCTGCATGTTGTGGGGCCGGTCTGCTTCCACCCACACCCCAATCCACTCACAGCCCGACCCATCCACACCTCATCCCAGCACTGGTTGCCAGCACATGTCCTCTCCCTCTGCAAGCCTGGGGCCCAGGTCCTCCAACGCGCAGGTGACAGTAGCCAGTGCTTGTGGACAGATGTGGAAACAGGCCCAAGATGCTAAGCCTGCCCAGGCTAGCAGGGGATCCGTAATCTGTGCTATGATTGATTACTGAGCCCCAAGAGGAGCGGGGCATGGGTGTGCTACTGCCCCCACAGCGGGAAGCTGGGACGAGGCAGAGGCTCTACGTGGCACTGCCAGGCGGTGGGCAGGGGTGTTGGGGCCCCACACAGCCATTCAAAGACCAGCCCCTACTTCCTCCCCACTCAGGAAGCAGCCAGGTGTGGGGCATGAGGCAGACGTGGTCCCCGGGCCCTCAGACAGTGCCACCTGCATCCACCCACACCCGCCAAGGCTCTGTGCAGCAGCTCAGGGAGGTGTCTACAGCAGCTCTGAACCCTGCAGGTGGAGCCGACCTCCTCCCTTGCCCCAGTCCGCACCTCTCCCTACTGCACACCCCCCACTCAGGCTCTGTCCTAGCTGCCTGGCCCCTAGGCTTTCAGCTCAGGTTTTGTGAGTTCAGATTGAACTTGGATAAGTGGAGCTAGTCATGGGATTTGAAGAAGGACAATCAAATTCTTTCTCAAGGGCCTTGGCCAGAGGCAGCAGAGCCGGGAGCACCCACAGCTACTGCACGGAGGGATGCCCAGGCAGGCAGGGCTGTGGCACAGGGGGTCAGCCACCCAGCAGTCAGCAGCTGGACACTGCGCCCCCTTCAGCCGTGCAAATCCTGGTCAGCCTAACAATGACCCTGTAGAGGAGGCGTCCACCAGGCCACCCAGCGAAGCAGGCCTAAGGCCCCTCCCGTACAGAGGGGTCCAGACTGGAGCATGTGACCAAAGCCCTGTGCACCCCACTTCCACACAGGCGGGTCCTGGGTTCTGCAGAGGGGCTCCTGCCAGGGAAGGCACAGCCTAGTCAGCTCCCAGCCCGGAGGATGGGCCTCGGGCAGGTCCAGATCAGGCAGGTGGGAGGGGGGGCAGGATGCACACCGCGGTGAGGCCCAGGTGAACACAGGTGGGGGTCTACCTTGAAAGAAGCTCTTCACCCTGAGGTAACTGACGCTTAGGCGTAGGACGGAGAGCTTGTCCAGTTTGGAGATGATATCGGGCGGAAACGGCAGGAGGCTGGCCAGGTGGTCCAGCTCAGCGTTGAGGCGGTCCCGGTGCCGCTTGGAAGGGTTGGACTTCTCAGACTCCAGGGCGGGCCTCCTGTGAAGAAACGGAACTGCTGTCAGATTGCAGTTTCCCAGCCAGGCACTGTGGGAGGGTAGGATGGCACCTCACGGCAGGGTGGACCCCACGGGCACCATGGGCCCCCAGCAGGACAGACCCCATGGTGGATGGATCCCCTGGTGAGACGGACCCCACAGGCACCATGCACCCCATGGCGGGATGGATTCCACAGAGGGGTAGATCTCACAATGGGACGGACCCCATAGCAGGACAGACCCCACATAGGGACAGACCCCATATGGGGACAGATCCCACGGAGAGACAGACCCCGTGGGCACCATGGACCTCACGACACAACAGATTTCACAGCAGGCCGGACCCCACAGCAGGATGGACCCCACAGGAAATTGTCCTCTGCGGGCCCCGCTGTCTGTAAGTGTCTAGGAAACGCTGACAAGACTAATCTCACTCATCCCAAAGCTGTGCTTTCCAGGAAAATGAAAGTGCTCACCAAGGAAGGCAACTCATTATTGGGGGGGGGGGGCGGAGAATGGCAAAGGAAAGCATCCAGCAGGCTGGAGACGTGAGCTCACTGCAAAGGTGAAAGTGTGGGTCCCACCCGCCCTGGCTGGAGACTGGGGACCTGGCGCCCGAGCAGCTGTGTGACTAGGGCGCCTCTCTTGACCTCTCTTGTCTGCGGGGAGCAGTACCCTGCCCAGGGCTGTCTGGCTGAAGAGCAAACATGTCACATGCCACCTGTCTCCAGCCTCCTTCAGGTGCCCCTCCAGGTCTACACAAGACACACCCCTTTGAGCAGATGAAGAATTCATCATGGTAACAGTACTGATACCCCCAGGCCCGTCTGGTTGTGGAACCCCGCCCCCATGGGCGCTCAGACACCCCATCCCTGTGTGGGCTCACTTTCCCCATCCAGGTGTGGAACCCATCCCTGTGCCTGCTGAGACACCTTCCCTGTCCAGGTGTGGAACCCCGCTCCTGTGATCACTCACACACCATGCCCATCCACATGTGGAACCCTGCTCCTGGCACTCAGACACCCCACCACACAGTGACACCAACTTTCCCCGGTTACTGGAGGAGAAACTGAGGCACCAGGAGGTGGATTTCAAGCAACACCCGACCCAGGGCCCACCTCGTGAGCACACCTCGCCAAGGCAGGCCTTTGTGTTGTCTGTCTGTCCTCTCTAAAGGACAACAGACAGCCCCGTGTCTGTGCTGCAGCAGGACAGTCCCCAGGGCACCGGAGAGGCACAGCAGCAGTCCCCCGACCAACGGGCCAGGCGTGGAACCCCCACCTCAGCCAACGGCCCCACGCTGCTTTTTCCTTTGTCATTCTGTCACTTTTCCTTATAAAAAATGAGCAAAGTAGCCAAGGGTGTTTCCCTTTTGGCTTCTTGTATCAGAGAATATCGCGTGGGGGTGAGGTCCCCTGGCTGCAGGGCTCAGGTCTCTCACTTAGAAGTAAGTTCTGTCTGAACCCCGCCAGCAGACACCCCCATCTGTATCTGGTGAACTGAGTCATATCCCAATTACACAGCAGCCTGGCAGCATCCGCGACACAGGTCTGACCAGGATGGTGGGGCCTCCTGGATGCCACGCCACTTAATGCATCAGCACTTGTGGAAAGGCCACCCAATGCACTATGAACTTCTGGAGCCGCCCTGGGGAGCAGGCGGGCGCCCCCTCCATTCCGATCTCCACGGGGTCTCCCTCTAGGCACGATCTGCATGATCTCTGCATGATCTCCACATGATCTCTGTGTGGTCTCTGCATGTTCACCATGTGATCTCTGTGTGATCTCTGCATGAGCTCCACATGATCTCCACATGATCTCTGTGTGGTCCCCACGTGATCTCTGTATGAGTTGCATGATCTCCACATGATCTGTGATTGCTGTGTGATCTCACATGATCTCTTATGATCTCTTCATGATCTGTGTGATCTCCACGTGACATTTGAACTCTGAATTTCCATCACTTTTTCATATCAATGTGGAGTATCCAGACAATGGGGTGTGGACATTTGCTTACTGATTTATAATTCTATGAAAGTAAAAAACAAAAAACTAACATTATTTAGAACTTTTTTAAAAAAATTTTTATTGTGATTTGGCTGAAAGTTTACAGAGCAAATTCATCTTCCATACAGCAGTTCACATATCCTTTGTCTCATGACATTGACTGCAGTTTCCTACAATGCAACAGCTTCCCTCCCACTTCCTCCCCACAGTTAGTCTGTGTCCATCCCTCCATGCACTCCTGCCCCCCAAGCTGTTTCCCTGTGCATAAGCAGCCCTTCTTTCTCCCATGATTGATCCCTCCAAGGAGTGTATCTACCTAATGTTCAGCTCACATGCCTGTCTTTTGTTAGGCTGCAAGCCACAGGAATGGGTTCAATTCTAGACCTGAAGGGTAGCTAGGGGCCATAGTCTCAGTGGTTCCACCAGGCTCTATCAGACCAGCAAACCTCGTCCCCCCCCCCCTTTTTTTTAATGGTTTTGAGTTTTGTTCCACATTGTTCTCCCACTCTATCCAGGATCTCCTACACACATCCCCCTCCAAGTGGTTGACACTGGTAGCCGGGCACCATCTAGCTCTTCTGGTCTCATAGTCGTATGGCTGAGGATCGCATGGTGTATCAGTCCTTTGGACTAATTGTTTCCATGATTCTTTGGTTTTATTCATTCTTCTTTGTTCTGGACGAGAAGCCATCATTGCATCCAGATGGCTGCTGGCAAGCTTTTAAGATTCCAGTCTCTACTTGCCACAGTAGGATGTGGAACAATGTTTTGTGTAATATGTTATGCCAATTGAGCTTGATGTCCCCTGCAACCATTGTCTCAAGCCCACAGGTCCAACTACTCACCTCTCTGGGTAGCTGGCTGTGGCCAAGAAGTGACTACAACCTTGTCCCTTGTCAGTTCTATTATATACCTGGGAATTCTTACAGAACATAAAAATACACTTGTAGAAACATTGTCTGCCAGCCCTGCACATAGTCATGGATACATTCCCTGCTGCATAGACATACCTAATAGTTTAGCCTGCCCACCCATCTATCCACCCATATACCCGTGTTTGCCTTCACTGATAACACAGTACTGTAGGTGCAAAAGGGTTCATCTTTGTTGTCTGCACCTCCCGCACCTCTCTCTGTCTTTCTCTTCCTCAATAACACCATGTTGATCACTCACACTTGGTACACTGCCCTTCTCTTCACGCAAATCAATACTTGTCTCCACCTATCTAACAGTGTTCCCTCCCCTCCCCTCCCAGCCCTGGTAACCACAAAGAAAATTTCCTTCCATATAGAAACCTTTCCTTGATTTTTCACAATAATAGACTAATACGATATTTGTCCTTCTGTGATTGACTTATTTCACTCAGCATAATGTCCTCCAAGTTTATCCACGTTATACAATTTTTTGCAGATTCTATGTTATTCTTTAGGGCTGCGTAGTGTTCCATTGTGTATGTACCATACTTTGGTTATCCATTCTTCTGTTGATGGACACCTAGGTTGTTGCCATCTTTTGGCTATTGTAAATAGTGCTGTGATGAACATGGGTGTCCTGGCTCTCACTTCTTTAGGATATATACCTAGTAATGGAATGGCTGGGTCAAATGGTATCCTAATTCCAACTTTTTAAGGAATTGCCATACTGCTTTCCACAATGGTTGTATCATTTGACAATCCCACCAGCAGTGTATGAGAGTCCCAGTCTCTCCACATCCTTGCCAGCATTTGTTATTTTCTGTCTTGTTGAACTTCACTACTAGTGCTGGGGCAAAATGGTGTCTCATTGTTGTTCTGATTTGCATCTCTCTAATGGCTAATGATCATGAACATTTCTTCATGTGTTTTTGGCTGCCTGAATATACTCTTTGGTGAAGTATCTATTGATGTCTTCTGCCCATTTTTAAATTGGATTATTTGGGTTTTTTGTTGTTGTTGAGGTGTTGGAGTTTTCTATAAATTTTAGAGACAAGTCCCCTGTCAGATATGTCATTGCCAAATATTTTTTTCCCAATCTGTATGTTCTCTTTTGACTCTTTTGGAGAAGTCTTTGGAAGGACATAAAAATTTAATTTTCAGAAGGTCCCATTCATCTAGTTTCTCCTCTGCTGTTTGTACATTTTGGGTTATGCTTAATAGTCTATTTATGTTATATCTTAATAAATAAACAACTCACTGTCACCGAGTCAAATTTGACTCACAGCAACCCCTCCTTGGGTTTCTGAGGTAGTATCTCTATGGAAGTAGATTGCACAGTCTTCCTTCTGAGGAGTGGCTGGTGGGTTTGAACCGCCAACCTTCTGGTCAGCAGTCAAAGACTTAGGCACTATATTCGTTGTTTGTTGTTATGTGCCATCAAGTTGGACCCAACTCATAGCAATCCCTCCTTGGGTTTCCAAGGTGGTATTACTAAGGAAGTAGACTGCCCAATCTTCCTTCCAAGGAGTGGCCTTAGGCAGTATGCTACCAGAGCTTCCAGGTGCCCTAGTTTTTCCTTGAGGAACTTTATAGTTTTAGGTTTCACATTTAAGTCTTTGATCCATCTGGAGTTAGTTTTTATGTACAGTGTGAGGTACAGATCTTGTTTCATTT